GCAGCTGGCCTGCTGCCATCGGCTCAGTAACGTGACTTCAGGTACAGAATCAGATATATCTTGACTTTGTTGTGGGCAGTTAGACAGAGATGAGCAGAGCCAGCCACAGACGGTCTCCAGGGCGGAAAGCCCAGGTGCCTAGCCCGGGACAATCCATAGTGGGGTGGGACCCCGCCCCAGGGTGACCTTCCCTCCCCAGCAGATGCCGGTCCTGTGGTTTGGAGCCCCTGGCCCTTCCTCCCTGGAGATGACACCCAGGCCTCAGTTGCATTTCAGCTCCTGGCCCAGATAAGCGCCCGAACCTGTGACCTCAGGACCAGCTGCATGGAATAATGGCCCCGCCCTGGTGCCGCCAATCAGTCATGGGGACCACAGCCCTGAGAGGACACGCTTGGAAAACTGCTGGATGTTCTATAGAGATCTTCCCTGGGACCACCCCTAAAATCTGCACCCTTACAACCCTTAGGATGTACCGTGGTTTTGCAGCATGGACCTGTAAAGCATTACGCTAAGTGAAATAAGCCAGACAATGAAAGAAAAATACCACATGATCTCACTCATTTATGGAGAATAAAGAGCATTGTAACCTGATGAATAAAAAGATAGATACAGAGGCAGTAAAGCACCAAACAGACTGTCAAATTACAGCGGGAAGGCTGGGGAGTGTTGGTGATGGAGGGGCTGGGGAGGGGAGATCAACCAGAAGGACCTGTATGCATGCATATGAGCACAACCAATGGACACAAGACACTGGGGGTGGATGGAATGAGGGCATGCACAGGGGCTAGGGGAGGCTGGGGGAAGGTCAATGGGAGGGGAGATATATGTACTACTATATGTAATACTTTATAAACAATAAAAAAATTAAAAAACAAAACAAAAACCCTTAGGATGGAGGACCCAGTGTGCTCTCTCCTGGGAGCAAGCTCGGGCCTTTTCCTTTCCCTTCTCCCGCCCTCCCCCTCCCTGCCCCAGGCAAGTTACCTTAAGTTTCTCACTCCCAAGCTCCAGGGCCTTTTTTTTTTTTTTTTACCTTCATACCTTGCTTCCTAAGCTCATTTAGTCTAGGATTGACTATTCTGCCTCAGTCATTTACCCAAGAAACGCTCTCTTCCAGGTGGGGTCCTGCTCTGAATTCTTTCCTAGCCAGAACCTAAGAGCCGAGGTTGCTGAAGCCAGGGTTGGTCTGACCCCACCGCTCAGACACCTGCCGCTGTTCCCTCCACCTACAACAGCTAAGTCCTGGCTTCTTTAACTGGGAGATGCAGCCTTCCTCTGCATTGGTGAGGAAGGAATAGGACTGGTGGACGTATAGCCCGTCTCCGTCACAGTCTGTCTTCCTGACCACCAATACCTGTTTCACTCTTCCGTCCACTCACAGGACACAGCTGCCCTGCAGTGCACACAGAACCATGATGCCCAGACTCCCCCGTGGAAACGACCTGGTTTTTCCAGCTGCCAAGAGTGCTGCCAATCAATACTCAGCTTCTAGCTGTTAGCCATTTCAGGGTTTGCCTCAGCTGTCAAGAGCTGCCTGTACTTCCCACATCCATTAACGAATTGAGGTGTGGTTATACGGGTCCAGCTATTTCAGGCTAAGGTGGGACCGCTCTGATGGGGTCCACCAAGGCTTCGTTAAACTTGAAAGGCCATTGAACTTCTCCCTCCCCCGTTGCCCCCCACTACCCTCCACAGGCATTGATCACTGATAATACCCTGCGTACCAAAGTCTTATCTCACTGTCTGCTTCCAGAACACCTGACTGTGGCACAACATTTCTCCAAGACTCAAATCCAGTCTTAACCTGGTCCAGCTCCAAGTCCAGCATATCTGGGTGATGCTTGCTTCTCTCAAGTCTGGGTCTAGCTCTTCTGGGTTAAGTGGCCTACGAACTGAAACAAGTTATCTGCCCCCGATCTCCACGCCCCATCTACAATGATGGAGCGGGAAGAGGATAGCCACCATCAGCATTCCCATATGGAAAGAGGAAGAAGGGGAGACACAGCAGGCACCGCTCTGTACTAGTCGTGGAATCTGCTGGGCGGACATTGATTAGCCAGCACCTTGCTTTATAGGAGGAGCTCCCTGGCCCATTGCCCATCCCCCGGGGGGCCCTTCCTGTCCATTATTCTCTATGGCTGCATCTGAAGTCAGTGTTGAGGAGCACACTCTCCTAGGAGCCTTCAAAGCCTGTGTCAAATACTGTTTTAAGGCTCAGACAATGAATAGCTTATTTTGCTTTGGTTAATAGTTTCTTTAGCAATTAGCTTCTCTCAAAAACTTAGCTGACTTCTATTTGGCTCCAACCAGCTCTATGTGCCATTAACTATACCCAAGGTTGTTTCCTAGACATAGTTCATACACACACACACACACACACACACACACACACACACACACACTAGGGGCCCAGTGTACAAATTCGTGCACCTTGAAAGGAACTGTGGAATGAAAGGCTGCAGTGGGCTCAGGGGCAGGTCTAAGCCCATCCTCCACACTCCTGCCTGGACCCCACTCCCCTGTCTGCTTGCAGCCCTCCTCCCTCAGCAGCTCCCATGCGCTGATGGTGCTGGCCCCACTCACACTCACTGATAGTGCCGAGTGATTGGGGCTAGCACAGCAGCAGGTGAGAGTGGGACCAGCACCATTAGTGGGTACAAGCGGCAGCTGCTGCCCCAATTGCCCCTCAGGAGCAGGGGGAGGTGGAGAAGCCCTCAGGGGCAATCGGGGCCAGCAGTGGGTGCGAGTAGTGGCTCTGGCAGTGGGTGCAAGAGGGACCACTGTGCATGGGAGCAAAGAATTTTCATTAACCACCAGAGGCTTGCCCCAATGACAGTGACTGGTGCCTCACCTTGGTATGGCACCCCTGCTCACCTGTTCCACCATCCCACCACAGCCGATGCCCCCTGGTGGTCAGCACATGTCATAGCAACTTGTTGTTATGTTGTTCTGCTGTTTGGTCTATTTGCATATTAGCCTTTTATTATATAGGATATATATATCCTATATAATAAAAGGCTTGGGGGATAGGGGAGTCTCTCAGCCCAGCCTGTGCCCTCTTGCAGTCCAGGAGCCCTTGGGGGATGTCCTCGGGGAGCAGGCCTAAGCCAGCAGTCAGACATCCTTTGCGCTGCCATGGAGGCCACCACCGCTGCTACATTCGCCAGCAGTGAGACCGGCTTCTGGCTGAGCAGGGCTCCCTCTGTTGGAGCGTACTGACCACCAGGAGGCAGCTCCTGCATTGAGCATCTGCCTGCTGGTGGTCAGTGTGAGTCATAGTGACTGGTTGTTCTGCTGTTCAGTGATTTGTATATTAGCCTTTTATTATATAGGATATATATTTACATATATACTGTATATTTCACAGAGGAAGGGAGAGGCAGAGAGAAACATCAGTGATGAAAGAGAATCATTGATTGGCTGCTTCCTGCACATCCCGCACTGGGATTGAGCCCTGACCAGGAATTGAACTGTGACCTCCTGGTTCATAGGTCGTTGCTCAACCAGTGAGCCACACTGGCTGGGCTTAGACATAGTTCTTGATCCTGTGATCATGTTGGTGTTTTTAGGAGACATAGGTGGAGACAACACACCCTCAGTCTAATCTTTGCCCTCAGCTACTTTATTAGATTCTAAAGTTTGAACAGCCCTTAACCACTTAAAGCCTTTCTATAATCCCATCACACACTTTCATAGGTTTCCCCACCTGGACAGTGTCCCACCATAGCACTGCCACCCCAGCTTTGTCATTATTTCTCTGTTTCTCTAGCAACCAGGACAGAGACAGTCAGTTAGGTATCTCCTTTGTAAGTCCAAATTGAATTAATGAAATTTAGGCTTTTCTAACTATGTTTATTATTTCAGGAATCTCTTTGGGTTCATGTGACTTAGGTAGAGCAGCGATTTTCAACCTTTTTCATCTCATGGCATGACCAAACGACTAAAATTCTGTGGCACACCAAATAATATTAAATTTTATGCCTCTCTGACAAAAAAAAAAAAAAATAGGTATAATTTTGATTCATTCACACTGGACAGCTATTGTGTTGGCTGTAGTCATTTTTAAATTTGAAAATTTAAGGGAAAAGAGGTCAGTGCCCCTACTGAATAGTCTATTATGGCTTGTTTTAAAAACTCTTGCAGCACACTGGTTGAAAATCGATGATGTCGATAAACATTTTGGTAAATTTTCAGGCAATTGAAAAAAAACAACAACAGTTAATTATATATTTTCCGTGTATAGTTCCTAAACCAAAAGGAAGGATGATGAAGAGTTAATAAAGTTAGTAAAAAAAAAAAAAAAAAAAAAAAAAAAAGTGATCAGTTGCAAACACTGGTTATTGAAGGTCACCTGTAAGTGGCTGGTAACGGACGGAGCAGGTTGGAGGAAAAATAGAAAGTAGAGGAGACTTTTGAAAAGGGGGGAAATGGCCTTTCAGAGTTTTGTTCCCAGAATGGAGGAGATGGAAGGGCTGGACAGTGAGGGAACCATGGGGGTGGGTACTAGAGGAAGTAGTACCTGGGGAACCCAGCTGGCGGAAGTTACTAAAGAAACGCAACTGCATGGGGAAAGAAGGGTGCTTGCATACTTAAGCTTTAAAATGTATAGATGCTGCTAAGACCCGCTGCTTGCAGATAACCAATCATAAGGCAGTGAGCGTGTAACCAATTATAAGAATGTTACTAAGGCAGAGTTCGTTGAAAGGACCAATCAGGAGCAAGCAAGGCATGTATCTACACTTTCTCTCTCTCTCTCTCTCTCCTCTCTCTCTCTCTCTCTCTCTCTCTCTCTCTCTCTCTCTCTCTCCCTCTCTCCCTCTCTCCTTCTCTCCTTCTCTTTCATGGCTTATGGCCATGTGGGACTCTACACATGGGCTAATGGACTTTTATTCGCTTGGATGCTGAACTACACCTAATTGCAACATGGAACAGAAGCTCTGGACCCTGGCCTGCCCCTGGAACCCCAGCTGCACCTTCTCCCAATAAACTTTGCTTCCGCTAACCGTTTTTGTCCACAAATCCATTCTTCGGTTTTGCAAAACAACGAACTTGGACTCAACCGCCACACCTTGGGTTCAGAATCACATTCCTTATTTTCCCTGAGTTACCGACGTGCAGGCTGGTGTGGAATCTGAATGCTCCTGTGTCTCGCTCGGGTTCCCTTTCTCCTCCCTTCCCCTCATCCCACAGCAGCTTACGTGAGGCAGCAGAGGGTTCCCATTACTGCGGAGCTCAAAAGAAAGGCCAAAATGGCTGCCCGAGGTAGGGTGCTTTTGATGAGATCCCACACGTAATCCCTGATGTTGTTCAGCCAGGACTTGTCCTTTCCTGCAGAAAGAGCATAGAGTTTCATTGAGGACCAGTCAAGTATGTAAATGATCGCCCCTAACCACTTTGCTTACTGGCCTGCTTGCCCCCAACTGCCCCCCCCCCCCTTGCTGGCCTGCTCACTCCCAACTGCCCCCCCCCCTGCTGGCCTGCTCACTCCCAACTGCCCCCCACTTGCCCCCAACTGCCCCCCCCCTTGCTGGCCTGCTCACTCCCAACTGCCCCCTCAACTGTCTCCCACTGCCAGCCTACTCACTCCCAACTGCCTTCCCTGCTGGCCTAATCCCTTCAACTGCCCCCCCCCCCCCCCCCCCCCCCCCCCCCCCCCGCCACAGCCGGCCTGCTTGCTCCCAATTCCCCCCTGCCAGCCTGATCACCCCCAACTGCCCTCCCCTCCTGGCCTGATCGCCCCTAACTGCCTCTGCCTTGGCCCCGACACCATGGCTTTGTCCGGAAGGATGTCTGGAAGGTCTCCTGGTCTAATTAGCACATTACCGTTTTATTAGGATAGATAACTAACATGTTGTCGCCCACAGTATGTTTGGGAGTTCTGCAGGAGGCTGAGTGAGGGTAGTTGAGTGTCCCATAAAGAGAAAGGAGGAGGACACCAATGCCAGGAGCATCCAAAGGGGAAAGGGGCCAGGGCAACTGGCAGAAGGAGCTTTAGAGGGAGTCTACTGATTAAGGTAAGGCTCGAGGCAATAGGTGTTTTCTTTAGGAAGTGAACATTACTTTAAAATAGAAAATCAGTATTTCCTGACCTGAGGCACGCGTGTTATGTTTTAGGAAGGCAGGAACATTCATTCTAACAGCAAACAAACCCCTTGAGACAGGTTCTGATCTTCCCTCCTCTTGTAGTCCAACAGAAGTTAAAAATGATGAAGAGGAAACCAGAGGTTCTAAGAAGCAAATTAGAGGACACAGAAGAAATCCAACAATCAGCAACTTCTGGAGGTCCATGGACTCTCCAGAGGACGACGGAGCTGCGCTCCCTCAGCCAAGGAAGGATGGATTTTTCCCTGGCTCTTTCCAAGGCAGCTTTGTCTGAAAAGTTACAAAATGATGGGTTAGTTTTGTTAATATATATATATATATATATATATATATATATATATATATATATATATATATATATAATTTATTTCAGAGAGGATGGGAGAGAGAGAAAACATCAAGGATGAGAGAGAATCATTGATTTGCTGCCTTCTGCACGCCCCCTACATGTAACCCAGGCATGTGCTCTTGATTGGAATTGAACACGAGACCCTCCAGTCTGCAGGCTGATGCTCTGTCCATTGAGCCAAACCAGCTAGGGCCAGGCAGTTCCTCTTAAATGACCACACACGGAACTAGGACTCACTCCCTCTGAGCTCCAGAGTTGGGCAGAGCTTGAAAGGCACCACAGACATATGGGGAGGAACTGAATTGTTTGCCATCAGGGTAAGACCTGGTGGGGCAGCTTTCTCCTGGACAGAAGTGCTGGTAGAGGCCATTGTTCCTTTGATGAGTCTCCCCCCTGACTCCCCCCACAGAGCCATCATCAGAGATTCCATTAACTGGACTCACACTGTTTCCCCCACTCTGGTGATTCCTAAAGTACTGTGTTCCCCCCCCCCCCCCAATTTTGGAATGACCTAAGCTGTTTCTAGTGGCTTTTCCACAGCAATGGCCTATCTTGGCTCATGCTTCAGATTTCCTAAAATCTCTCAAGCAAGCAGCTTCTGGCCTCAGTGTGTCCCTTACTTCTTCCTAAGTGGCACCAGCCCTGGCATCAGGAGCAGCCAGCCTTTGTTCAAAGCTTGGCCTCTACTGGATACCTGCAAGCACAGTAGAAATAGCAGCCATTTGCAGATCACTTTGTAGCTCATGCTGGGTGGTCCTGAGCAGAACGCAGGTACTGGCTGACCTTGGACTGCACTTCTCAGGAGGCCTCAGAGCCAGTGCACCCAGTAGATCATGTCCAAGATTACCACCCAACCACCTCCACAAGTGACATGCTTAAGGAGCAGACTCAGTGAGCACAAGAGCCCCCCTGAAGAAAGTCCTTCTGTGTGGGGTGGGGCCCTGCACAGCTGATCCTCCACAGTGGTCGGTGGTCAGAGGTTGGTGGTTGTGGTTCCAACCAGTCCTTGTAGCTGATTGGCCTGGGGGGGGGTAAGTTCTTCCCATTGACATGCCAACAACAATCAAGGCTCAACTACAGAAGGAGGGTGTACACAGCCCACACTGGGGCACACATCTTGAGTGCCTAGTGTGAGTGATTGGGGAGGCTGTGCCATTGACTCTACAGAACATCTACTACATTAGGCCACTCAGCCAAGTCTGGGAGATGTAGCAGCTCTACCTAATACATAGAAACAAACACAGGGAGCCTACCAAAACAAGGAGACAAAGAAACAAACGGAAATCTGATGGGTAGCTTCTGGGAAGACTTTTTCTGTATTGATCAAAGAGAAGGTGCTACCATTTTTCCTTTATGCTGCCTTGACCATTGTTGAAGTGTTAGCTGAAGTTGGAGCAGCCATCTTGTGACCATGAGGCAATGCACATGAGGAAAATGGTCAAGAAAGTGACATCTATTCTGGCTCTGACAACTTCAGGCCACTAAACCAACATGTCCATTTGCCTACCTTGAGACTGCTTGTATGAGAAGAATAACCCATTTGAGTCACTGTAATTTGAGTTTTCTGTTACTTAAGACATTTATAATTGATACACTCATTCGCTAGGTGAGAGAGGGTTCAAAGACAGCCACGTCAGGTGGGAAACCACTTACCTGAAAATTGACTAAGCACCAAGCGTTCCGAAGAAGCAATGAATTTGGCTTCAGTCTTCAAAGCACAACGAAAGAAGCTGGCAACAGTCTCCCCCTTACGTGTCGGGAGTTCCAAGTAGAATTCTACCATTCCTTATGACATCGTTACTGCAATTGAACCGCCCCCAGCCTCTGACAGTGAAGCATACAGACATCTTTTTTTTGTCTATGCATAAACATCCATGTTGATTCTGAAACCCATCCTTACAGTAGCTGTATCCTCTTAACACTTGAAGAATTCTAAGGTATTTTATTTGCCGCCCGGTAGCTACTACAGTTTACAATAGTGTATATATGGAACTTTAATAGATGAAAATGGTGGCATTCTACATCAGTAGAGGAAAGAGAGATGGTTTACTATCATCCTTGGCCACCCATTTGGATGCACTAAAGTGAGAGCCCTATGCACAAAAACAAACTCTAGATGGATTAAGGACTAAACAAAAGTAAAACCCTATACATAGTGAAATAAAATATGGGTGAATGTTTTTATAATGAACGTGGAAGAAGCTACTCTGAGCATGTCATAAAACCAAAAAGTCATAAATGAAAATGCTGATGTGTTGCATAAAAATATAAAGCTTTCATACAGCAAAATATTATAAATGAGAAGATTAATGACATATTAGGTAATGCATTTAAAAATTTTTTATTGATTATGGTATCACACAATTGTCCTCATCCCTCCATTCCCATCCCAAACTCCTCCCCACATATGCCCCCACCCCCCTGTTGTCCATGGTCACTGGCTAGGCCCATATGCATGCACACAAGTCCTTTGGTTGATCTCTCCCCTTTACCCCCACCCTCCCCTACTTTCCCTCTGAGATTTGAGAGTCTGATCGCTGCTTCTCTTTCTCTGGGTCTGTTTTTGTTCATCAGTTTATGTTGTTCATTATTTCCTCTAGATGTGTGAGATCATGTGATCCAAGAAATACCCTAAACATATATGACATCTCCAAGATTCTGATTGGTCACAATCTCTAGAAAGCTTATAAAAGGAGGTTAATGAGATGAGCCACAATCCCCACTGCTGCATTAGTCCTAAGAGATACCCCCTGTTCCCTTGCGTGCCCAGTATATTACTCGCTGCCCCTATTGTGTAGCCACAGCCCTGATTCCTCATGAATACCAGGGTCAATTACTCCTGCTGGTATGGGAACTCCTGTCTGTGAGGTAAGAAAGGAGAGAATGCTAACTGAATAAGCATCTCTTTCTTGATCCTGCCTGGTGCCTCCCTTTTCTTAGATCCTCTCTCCTAACCTCTCGAGAGAATCAATTTCTACTCATGTTGCTGTGTGGAACTGAAGAGACAATTGTAAACTGTAGGATCAAACTACTGTTCAAATTGTCTAATTCAACAGTTTTGCAAAAAATTTAGCAGGCCACCTGTGCTCCCATTTCCAAAGTGAACCAAAGCCACCAATTCCTGGCTGTTTTGAAGGATTCCTAATGTAAATCCAATTGCTTCTTGGCTATGTTCTGTTCTGGTTTTTCCTTAATCCTTCCTGGTACTATGAGAAATTATTTGATCTGAAGATTCAAATTTGTTTATTATTATTATTATTATTATTATTATTATTATTAGAGGCCCCATGCACGAATTCGTGCATGGGTGGGGTCCAGCCAGCCTGTCCCTATGGGAGCTGACTGGGCAAGGCCAGGAGGGGGGGGAGAAGGGCTGTGGGAAGTTGGCCAGCAGATCCTGCTCCCAATAGAAGTTGGTGGGGATCATTCATGGGGAGGGGCCTCCCCTTGATCTAGCTGGTTGGGCAGCCATAGTGCACATCATAGTGACTGGTTGTCCAGTCGTTCCACTCATTCCGGTTGTTCTGGTGCTCCAGTCACTTGGCTGATCAGGGGAAGGCGCCAACCCCATCACCCTGCTGCTGTAGTCACTGCCAGTCACTGCAGCCGCCAAGGTGTTTTCATCAATACAGTCTCCAGTCCCTTCACCATGAAAAAATGACAACTTTCTTTAGGCATTTTCAAGATGTGCCTTTCATAGGATATGCATTTCTTTTTCTTTTTTAAAAAAATATTTTATTGATTTTTCACAAAGGAAGAGAGAGGAATAGAGAGTTAGAAACATCAATGAGAGAAAAACATCAATCAGCTGCCTCTTGCACACCCCCCATTGGGGATGTGCCCAAAACCAAGGTACATGCCCTTGGGCAGAATCGAACCTGGGACACTTCAGTCCACAGGCCAAAGCTCTATCCACTGAGCCAAACCGGTTTCGGTGGATATGCATTTCTTTCTTTCTTTCTTCCTTCCTTCCTTTCTTTCTTCCTTTCTTTCTTTCTTTCTTTCTTTCTTTCTTTCTTTCTTTCTTTCTTTCTTTCTTTCTTTCTTTCTTTCTTTCTTTCTTCCTTCCTTCCTTCCTTCCTTCCTTCCTTCCTTCCTTCCTTCCTTCCTTCCTTCCTTCTTTTTTTTTTTTCTCCCTCACCTGAGGATATGTTTCTATTGACTTTTAGAGAATGTGGAAGAGGAAGGGAAAGAGAGAGAAACATCAAAGTGAGCATAACACTTTGATTGGTTGCCTCCTGCATGAGTTCTGACCTGGGCCCCAGCCAGGGAGGAGCCTGCAACCGAGGTACATGCTCTTAATCAGAATCGAACGCAGATCCTGTGGTCAGCAGGCCGAGGCATTATCCACTGAGTCAAACTGGCTAGGGCAGGATATGACATTTCTTAGCCCTCCAGCAGTGGACCTTCATTTTTTTCTCCAGAAGTGTGATGGCAAAACCCTAGATCACCTTTTTGGATTCTTATTACCCAAGTTACTAAGAATATTACCAGTGGCATACAGGGAGCTTAATCAATGTGCAGTCAGAAAAGGTGTTTTCTCTATAGTTCACACCAATCATGGGCTGGGCCCTGTCCAGGCCTAAAGCCTCTGGCTGAAGCTTTAGGCCTGGGCAGAGGCCCTCCAGCTCCCTGCGATTGATCGATGGATCGCAAGCTCCACTCCTGCCCATTGCCCAGTAGCCTTGGGCAGGAGCGGACCCCTAGCTCCTTGCGATCAATCACAGGCTCCACTCCTGCCACCTCGTTCTGATTGCAGGCTTGGCCCTGCCCAGGAGCCCCCTGGCTCAGACCCTTCCCAGACTGCTCTGGGCCCATGGGGCCTTACCTCACGGTGACCTGAATGCCAGGATATTCCTGGGACACAGGTGCTGGGTGCCTATGTATGCAAA